TTGTCTGTGGTTTTGGTCAACCTGGCTATAATGTGTCTTGGAGAAGATCTTCTTGGGTTGATTCTATTTGGGGCCCTTTGTATTTCTTGGGACTGGATCTTTGAATGCCTCTCTAGGTTTGGAAAGTTTTCTTGCAGGATTTCATGGAATAGGTTTTCAATGCCCTTATGGGTCTCTTCACCTTCTGGAATGCCAATTATCCAGATGTTTGGACGTTTGATGGTATCTAGTACTTCTCATATATTATTCTCAATTTTTGTGCCATTTTCTCAGTCTTCGTGGTGGATTTTTCTAGGCCAGCAATTTACTCTTCTATGTCTGAGATTCTATTTTCTGTATGATCTAGTCTGCTTTTAATACTTTCAAGGGAAATTTTGACTTCCTGTATTATAGACTTCATTTCTAACAGTTCCATTTGACTCTTTTGTAAAGCGTGTAATTCCTCTTTTAGATCCTGTAAGAATTTCTTCACCTCCTGGAACTCATCAACTTCTTTTTCCTTTCTCTTTAGCAGTTCATTGCCTCTCTTCTCTTCCATCTCAGTTAGCTTCACCATCATGAATACTCTAAATTCTTTATCAGACATTTCCATGATTTGCATTGAACTGCTTGTGGATGAAGGGGAGTCATTCTTTTCCCTTGGAGGAGAGGTATTTTCTTGCTTTCCCATATTTCTTGTGGTCCTGCAGTGATTTCTTGTCATCTGATGGATGGTGTGTTTCTTTTGAATTCTTGAAGTTCAATCTGAGTGTTCAGGAGCAAGCAGAAAGAGGTGATCTGGAGTCTCTTTGCCGTTCTGTTGTGATCACTGGTGCAGCAGATTCAGTAGATATTGAAGTATATGTTAACCCTAATAGTATTTGGATGTTTAGCTACAGTGCCCTTAGATCCATCTAGAAACACATTAAAAGGATATTGAAGAGTGGAGAGACAAGAAAAAAGAAAATGAAAAAGAAAGAGAGAAACAACAACAAAAAAAGAGAAAAAAAGACAAAAAAATGTAATTATTGTTTTTTTTTTAATAAAACAAACAACAACAACAACAAAATGTTTTTAAAAACCCAAAATATAGAAAACCGCATGGCACGCTAGAAATAACTGGTTTGCTGGAGCCATGAGGAATCTTCTTCTGAGGGAAGGCCTCAATTCTCCTGCAAAATTAGCTTTGTTTGCTGGAGGCTGAATTATCAGTAGAAAGTCTTCATTTCTCCTATCCCCTGAAATGACTAGTTTGCAGGAGCCATGAGGAATCCACTTCTGAGGGAAGGCCTCAATTCTCCTGCAAAATTAGCTTTGTTTGCTGGAGGCTGAATTATCAGTAGAAAGTCTTCATTTCTCCTATCCCCTGAAATGACTAGTTTGCAGGAGCCATGAGGAATCCACTTCTGAGGGAAGGCCTCAATTCTCCTGCAAAATTAGCTTTGTTTGCTGGAGGCTGAATTATCAATAGAAAATCTTCATTTCTCCTATCCCCTGAAATGACTAGTTTGCAGGAGCCATGAGGAATTGGGAACAATTTTTTAAAAGAATTATTTAATTTTTGATTTATTATGATTGTTATATTAAAATTTGCTATAGGTCATGTGTGCTCACCAGAAAAAGAGAGGGAAAGTGAGAAAGCAAGCCTCCAGATCTGGGACTTGAACTGTGGTCAGCCATGTGGGAGTCCAGCACCCCAACCATCATGCCAGAAGCAATTATTTTTGTAGATCCTTGTCTTAAATCTGCTTAGTGAGCCAGCAGGTGGCATAGTGGTTAAGGTACTGGACTTCCACATGGTCGACCACAGTTTGAGTTCTGGATCTGGCAGTTTGAAATTCATGCTGGGCACACGTGTATATGTGCCCAAAATACAGAGAGGAGAATGGAGGAGAAGGGACACCCCCCCCCGGGAGGGGGGGGAATGCGATTTCTCACTTTCTGTCTCTCTTTTTCTGTCTCTCCAGTGAGTGTCCAAGCCCTACAGCAGAAATCTTTCCCCCCCAAAAAACAAAAACCCTTTATTTAAGAAAGGGACTTTTCAAAGCTAGGAAGATGAATATTTTCCAGATAATATAGAAACTCTGTTGATAACTGTTGTCCTACTTTACTTCTAGCTACAAGAAAACGCATGAAACCCTGAGTCACGCAGGGCAGAAAGCAACTGCAGCCTTCAGCAATGTTGGAACAGAAAAGTGGGAAGAAAGCAATGAAAACTTCAACGGCATGGCATGAGCAATAGTATACACATCATAATGCATGTCAGAATCGTGTGAGATTTGAAAACTATGTACTTCTCAACTTCCTACATGCACACACACACACACACACACATGAAATATGTAATGGATAAAATGGTATGACTATATTGACTGGTGACAAAGATAATGGTTTATATTGGAATGTTTTCTACTTGAAAGTCAGCTTAGGGGGAATATTCCCAAAGATACCCTTTCTACTAGGACACAACCTAGTACAAACAAAAGAAAGAGGCAAAGGTGGAAGGATTTCAAAAAGATACAGCACACACTGAATTTTCAATGACACATTAAAGTATGCATTTGGTGGCCTGTGCATTATTCTAGGTTACATGTCTGTATACATCCACCTAGTGTGTGTTTTGTCTGTGCTAAGTTCATACATATTTATTCTTTTATTCCAAAGGAATATTGTATGATACATATTTCCAGTAATGTTCTTTCTTCACATAGGCAATATTTTGGAAGCATGTTAATAAATATTTATTATACTTCCATTTTTAAAGCCTGTATTATCTTTTAGTGCAGAGCTGGAGCAACACTTTTAAGCAAGCACATTTCTGTTATTTTTAGTACTTCACTATTACGTAAAACTAGAATTGAACATCAAGACAGGTTTTGAACTGAGAATCAAATGTCCTCACTATAGACACCAGAAAAAATGTATTGGCCATTCTTGTTTTTTTTATGTAATGTACAAGAAAATTCTTTCTAGAGTTATTATTCTCATAGTCTTTGATTGTTTAAATACCTGTCAGAGTCTATTTTAAATTTGGCTGATATACGTTGGAGGAATTCTTTACAAATTAGTTTCTTTTTTTCTCTAGAAGTCTAATTTATTTTTTAGAAACTTTTCAAATACACTTTTTAGATTTTCTTTAAAAAAAAATCTGTGTCTACTTATTTCACTGGATTCTGAAATTATTAATTCCTTTATTGACCTACAGCTTTCATACTGAGAGGCAAATATTTACATCCTTATGTTTGAATTATTTTTTGGCTTCAACAATTTCTGGACTGTACTCGGGATTCATGCATACTTAGGAATTCGTGAGCTAGAGTTAGGCAAGGACATGTGCATGAATCTGAGCACATTGTTTACTTTCATTTTTATTAATTCTACCAAATCAAAAAAACAATTGAAATTATTCAGAGGTAGTATGTGATAATGCACGTAAGCCTGGATTATTAGTTACTCCTGATTTTTTTATAGATAAAATTTGCAGCCATTTAAACACCATTAAAACATTTATCTAAACTCTTCAATCTCTTTAAATGGGAAAAACCATATTACTTCTTACACACAAGTACTTATATTTGACCATGCTTATAAAATTCGTTCTCTAAGTAAAATTAGTTGAAATCTTTAACTCAAATGCTGGGGTGTCAGCATAAGATTGGTAACCACGAGAGTGTTCGTGCACCTTTAGGGGACCTTAGGAACACCTCTGCAGCCTGTTTAAAATAAGTATACCCAGATTGTGCCTCACACTGGCCCAGTCTCTTTTTCCATCTGTAAAATAACATTGTTAATACCTGCTTACCCAACATGTTCCCCAGGAAATTAAAATGAGATCATATATACGAAAGTACTCTGAAATGCAAGCAGTGGAAAGCATTGCTGTAGTAATATTAGCTTCTTCTTGGAACTTCTCAGTGAATTTGTTCCCATTGTGATCCAGTGAGGACGAACTATTTGGAAGAGGCATGTCATTTCATTAGAGACCAACCATCACTATGGATGTGTGGGTGTAAGTTAGAAACAAAATGTCTAACAAGTTGGTAAAATAATCTGCAAAATGTGGTGAATGGCATTACCGAGTCTTTGCTCCGGGCCTCTTCAAAGGGGATCTAGGGACCATGTGCTTGTCTTGGTGTCTTGTGTACTAACTGCTGCTGCTCTTTCTCCTGTGCTGCCTCGGGCTGCAGGTCTCACTCCATCGGGTAAGCGCTGACCCGCCTGCCCCCTGGCTTCCAAGCCCTCTGTTTCTTTCACTCTCTCCCTCAGCCAAAAGACTGGACTCTGTTTAATCCAGATCATGTTTGTAACTGAGAAGATCAGATTACAGACAGAGCACCTGATACATTTGAATTTATTTAAACACATGTTTACCTCATTTCTGAATCATTTCCCTTACTGAGCAACCTCTTAGGAATATCTTTTTTTTTTTTTTTGCATCATTTCTTCTTAACATTGGCAGAGGTTCTTAGAATTGAAGGCAGAAAAGTGAAAATTGAGAGTTTTGTATTTTTGTGAAACTCCAAGAAAGTGGAAAAACAGAAAATTATTTTCTCTAGATGGCCCGGTTTCTCTGAATCACTTGTAACTGTTACTCGTGCTGATGTTTCACCTTCATTTTTCTGTACCTTCTGAAGTTGAAGAGAAAAAAGGTCGCTGTAGAAATAGAGGCACTTACATTAAGAAGGTTGCAAATGTCAGTCCCAGGCTTCTAAATTAAGCTTTCTTTTAGCTAGGATCTGATTATAGACTTTTTTGGGGGAAAGCATTTTCCTAAGAAAACCGCCTCTATGCACAGAGATGACAGATTGATAATGCTGATGGATTTCTTTGGTGGTAATATTTTTTCATATTTTCCAAAAGGAGTGTCTAGGCTAAGACTGTAAGTATCCCCTGAATTTCTCATTTTGGGAGAGATTTTTGCTATAGGGTACATGCACTTGCCAGAGAGACAGAGAGAGAGAGAGTGTGTGAGAGTGAGAGGAAAGTGAGAAATCATCCCCCAGGAAGAATGATCATGCCACAGTCCCTTCTCCTCCATTCTTGTCTCGGGATTTTGGACATACATGTGCCTGTTGTGAGTTTCAAGCCACCAGGTTCAGGACTCGAACCATGTTCAGCCATGTGGGAGTCCAGCACCTTATCCTCTATGCCACCTGCTGCATTCTAGTGAAGTACTACCCATACTGATCACCTCAGTGGATAGTGTCAAGGAAGGGAGACCAATTTGATCCCTGACCTGTAAACTTATGAGAAGAGCAAGTAGGTACTGTGTTGAAAAGTGTGATGGGGGATTTAGCAGAAACCCAGGAAAATGGACCCCATTTTGTTTCCTCCCTCTGCCCTGCCTGATTTCCAAATAGAACTTAATCAGAAAGAAGATGAGTCAGTTACTAAAGGATTAATAGAATGAGAAACTATCATCTCTTAAAATTCCATTTATATTCATACTGGAGGTTCCAGACAATGGAACCAGAATGGACACAGAGGTCCCTGCCGTGCTGTGGAACAGTGGGAATTGTGTTCCCCTGCCATGTGCTTCCTTGAATGTCTTAACTGCCTGCATTCCACTGGACAGTCTCTCTACAATGTAATGATTAGCTCCTGCCTGCTTGGCTCTGCTCCCTGGTGCTGCCCATGGCTCCTTACTGTCTTCCTAAGCAGAAGAAGGGAGTGGACACGCAGGATGGGTCCAAGAGGGTGCTCATGGGCTACTGGGCTGAGTAGACAGTCTCTGATTCCTGACGTAGGGAGTTGATAGGAAGTAAAGTAATATGCAACCATGGATTATACCCTCGGAAGCTGATTGTCATCTATTACCCCCCAGGAAAACAAATAGTGTCTGGCCAGGTGGGTGGGGGGTACTTCTGATATTTGAATTTGCTGTTTAGAACTGTGAGTAGAGAGTTTTTCATGTACTGACATTGTGCTACCTTCTTTTTCTTTTTTTCTCCTTTAACCTGCATTTTCCCTGAAGCTACTCGATCCGACATTCCATAAGTATGCCTGCAATGAGGTAATGTGGGAAAAGTATTTTACATAGTATTAATGTACAGTGTATACGAAGTATTGATTTATTGATATGTACTTGGGAGCCCCGGCCTCTCTATGTGAAAGGAGACGATGAAGTGCTATGATCTTGCTCATTCCATTTTCTGATGGTCTTCAGGAGGAAAAGCTGACATCATGTAGAAGCTTAGGTTTTTGACCCGACGCACTGGTTTAAATCCAGGTTTCCTGAGACAGGTGACTTAATCTATTTCAGTCTCCATTCTCTTATCTGTTCATTGTGAGAAGTAAAACCTACTTCATATGGCTGTCATGAGGCATTAATGATGTAACCTGTGTGAAGCTTTTAATGTGGGGCCTGGAAGATTCTGAGCACACTTTGCAAAGATACATTTCTTATTTCAACAGAATTAAATGCAAACCTGGGAGGTTTGAATGAAAGAAAAGGAGATTAAAAGAGTTGTAGTTCTAGAAAGGTTCTCAATAGCATTTTGAAGGTAGATATTAAGTTGAAATGTCTATTGAACAATCAAATGTCATTAAAATTACCAGCTGGATGAAAACTCGTGAAAATGATGTTCCCAGCTTTAAGTTTACATGGCCTAGTGAAACAGTCAGATAAATCAAACTAACAGTGATTGAGAGGAATAAATGTTAGATCGGGAATTAGAAGGTGTAATTTATAACCCAGCTTTGCCAAGAATTAATCCTGCAGCCTTAGGAAAGTAATCACAGTGGGATGAGGTTCATCATGTTTAAAACAAGAAGCTGCAATCAGACTTTCTGCTCTTCAAAGGCTGCTCCCTGGAGCCCCAAAGCAGCTGTGGCTAGAGTTGCTGTTGATGGTAGGGGAAAGTTAAGTCTCTGGGACCTTCCCCCACTTTGGTCAGAACTATTCCTCTTCCACTTGCTATATATCAAATATTGTGGTTCGAATGCTTTCTAGAGGGGGTTCAGTTACTTTAAGTAGTTTGAGATCACCGAAGCCAAATTCATTCTCGGGTCATTTGCAATGCTAAAAGTTCGTAGTTGGATGTGATATGACTTAATCTGATTAAACAGTGTCTCTCTGTTTTCCAGCACACATTCTAGTGTAATTTGATTAAAGGAATGTCTGTTTTGTCTGATGAAGTCTCTTCCACACTGGGGTTATTTGGTTAATTGGTCGATTTGGAAATTTAACCACAGAATTTGGTTTTCTGTATTTGGTGGTAAACATGAAATACAGAGTGAAGATTGCTTCCTTCATCTTTGATTGGCTTCCTCCAACCCTTAGCATAAGAACATTCAAACCAAGTAGTGCAGTCTGAGGCACTGGGCTCCTTCACTTGTCAAATTTGAAGTTTGGATGTCCAAAAGAGGCTTACAACAAATTAGCAGGGTTTTATTCTGTGAACCAGGACCTCATCTAGTGACGTATGGGTTAGATGAAGCCCCCATGAGCTTGCCAGAAACATTATTTTACTCACCTAATGTGTACCCAAGAGCCATTAAGCTTAACCATCTACCCACTATGGTAGGGCTGTGTAACCAATGGATGACAGACCTTTATGTGCCGAATAAAAGTTCTTAGTCATTCATGTGTAATTTTGCTGGTATTTATTGTGAAACAGAGGTATTATGGAGGATTACTCATGGGAATTGGGCTTCTGCTGGAGTCATATGCAAGGTGTGATGCCATGCCTGGACCGACTGAACATGTCATTGTTCATCCATGCAGCCTGGATGCAGGTGCATTTCTGACCACGTGGAGCATCAAGGACTCAGTGGACAGTCCCCCACGAAAGCCACATTCACCAAGAAAGATGTCATCTATTTTAATTGCCTCTAGGTGGTATACAGTGAGATCCATTTCATAACCATTGTCTCATAAAGTTTCACTAGGCCAATTCTCCTATCTGCTGTTTGTGTACTCAGAGAAAACAGCAATTGGCCTATTAAATATAGTAATGCTTATTTGACTTATTTGATCTGAAAATAATGGCAATCATTGCAACTGAAAGTTGACAGAGATCCAGATGTAAAATACATCTAGTTCCATTCTTCCTTCTTCAGTTGGATTCAGTGATATTTTTAATGTTAATGATGTCACTAAGTTGTACATTTGTGTGGCCAAATTCATTCTAAGGAATCAGAAAGCACCAAATGAAATACTCAATATTAAAGCTACAGGTGCACATAGACTATTTAACACACTGATGAGTTACTAAAAAATATTAATAGGCTGCAAAGGTTCTGTCTGGTATGAGAACAAATGAGTATATCCTCTTGTGGAAGAAAAACAATACATGCTAGCTAATAACACCAGTTTGATCAAGCATTAGGCAGACAATGGCTATATTTCACCTTAAAATAATGAAATTGGAACCAGCAGATGATGTAATGGCTACGTCTCTGGATTTCCAAGTAGTCGGCCGCTATACAAGTCATGGACCCGGTGGCTTAAAATTCATACCAGGAGCATATGCTTACCCCAAATCTCAAGAGCAGAATGGAGGAGAAGGGATTGCTGTGTGGCCATCCCCCATGGGGGGTGACTTCTCATTTTCTGTCGCTCTGTATCTCTCTTGTCTCTCCAACGAACGCACATACTCTATCACAAAAACCTCTAAAAAAAAATAAAAGAAGAAGAAAGAAAGAGAAAAGAAAAAGAAAAGAAAATAATGAAATCATTAACTTTCAGGGTTACCACTTCATGGAAGTTGTCAAAATGATTGCTTTTGAAGACACAGACAAAAAACTCATAAACCTTTCTTCTCCCCCCCACCCCTAGCTATTTCTGTCTTATCTCACATTTGCTGAAATAAATAACTTTAAATTTCCAAGTGGTAATACTTAGCTATGATATTCTTCAGATATATTTTCCTTTGTTTACAAAAAAAAAAAGAATCAAGAAGAGAAGTGTTGTGATAGACATAATTAGATGCTAAATGAAAAATTAAGCTATCCATGAACTCATTGGGCATGATTTATGGTGCACTGTGGAATAATAATAGTTGTAATCATTGCCAAATGCCATATTGATTTTTCCACAGTTGAGTACATATTTATTTTATTTCGATGATCCATGTCAGATGATGGTTTCTGGAATACACCTAGTAGAAGTGAGGTGTATATTAAAACATGGTCGGCGTAGGTGGCAAACTGACAGCTAGCTCTGCCGCAAAGGCAATGTTTACAAACACCAGCAGAAAACCAAACAGCATGGTTGCTAAGACAGCTAGGTCTTGGAGCTGACCTCTCTTTTTTTGTTATTTTAGGAATTCTCCTACTTTCAAATCATTTGAGGAGAGGGTTGAGACAACTGTCACAAGCCTTAAGGTACAGATGAAGTGAATTTTGTGTGAGTGGGTCTATTGGATCAGGATAGCTTAGAAATTGCTGCTGTTGGTTGAAAAGGCAAGGCAGAACCACCAGCATTCATGCAGGCAAGAAGGCAGATGCACATAGCCAGACCTTTCTCATCATGTGTAAATCTATAAATAAACACAGAATTGAGAATATCCGTGTTCTCAGGGTTGTTTTTGTAAATTGGTCAGGAGTGCATTATTCACTAAAGTGATTAGGGTTCTGTTCACCACTTATTCTCTTAATGTATCCCCCAAAAGTAGATACGTGAGAGGGATTATAGATTGGATAAATTTAGAGTGTGAGTGAAAGTTCAATCACAGCTCAAAGCTCCTCTGGTGTAGACATGGACTAGCAAAACCAGCCAGGAGGCATGTGTTTCCTGCCATCCACTTGCTAGCAGCCACCTAGACTCGTGCACTAAATCCACTGAGTGCAGCCCAATGTGGTTATCAAGGAGACAAAATTAAGCTGAGTCACACAATGCAGTATTTTATTATAATGCATGTTATCCCTAGGTTGGAACTGAAAATATACTTATTACATGGTAGGTGTTTTTAAAAAAATTCACTCAATTTATATTTGAGTATAGAGAGGCTAATCTATAGGGGGAAAAAGAAGAAAAATAAAATCAGTCCTACCCAAGGGCCAGCCCCATAAGCTAAGGGAGCTGGATCCCACACGCTTTAGATCCCACATGCTTTGAATCCCAGCCCTCGGCAGATTGAGGAACATGCTGGACCCATGTGCTTGCATGCCCCGAATCCAGAAATGGAGGAGAAGGGATTTGTCGTGAACAAACCTCCTTAGGAGGTGCTTTCTCTCTCTCCATTTCTCTCTGTCTCTCTCTGGTGAGTGCATATGCCTTCTGACAGTTAAAAAAGAAAATCAGTCTAGCAGGTGGTGTGGTGGGTAAGCACTTGGCTCCCATCTGGCTAGCCGATGGTTCAAGTGCTGGACCCAGCAGATTGAAAATAATGTCGGGTGCATGTGTGTTTGTACCTAAAATCCCAAGAGGAGAACGGAGAAGGGATTGTGGCATGCAGGGTGGTGGGGGGTGATGTCTCACTTTCCTCTGTCTCTCTCTGGCAAGTACACATGCCCTACAACAACCACAACAAAGTCAGTCCAGTCTGAAGATATATCAAACTGTTAAAACAAGAAAAATCATTCTAACAACTGAGTTTTGAAAGATATAATCTAAAAATTACTTCATTATATTTTGCATCATTATCAATATTACATATACAAATCATTTGTTTATTTTACTATTACTGGGGAAATTAAGAATATAGACTTTATAAAAGCCAGATCAAAAACTGTTCTATGCCCATGCTGATTATTCAGCTGCTTCTGAGTCCTTGATCATTTTACGACACACACATGCTGCCTGATGAGCATACCTGCGTTTGTGAGCTATTCATTACTGGAAGTTCCAGGTGCTCTCATTGATTTTGATCTGGAGGATCTTTTCTTAGGGGAGGCTCTTCCACATATTCTTCTGCTTCTGCTTTATTGGCCTGTGACCAGAGGTTCAAGGCCCAAGAAGGAAAGTAATACTCAGCATTGAGCATGCCTTCATCAGTTTCATTCATCAGCATTTAGTTGTGCAGTTTTGCTACTCTGTCAACATCATCATTTATTGAGTGAACAGGGACCATTTTAAAGGAAGGGACTAACAGTATTGTGAACATTTCTCTCTAAAGTATCTAGTATCAAAATAAAAGGCTCAAACTCTTAGGAGTGTTTCTCGACATTTGATTTTCAGCCTTAGACAGCTCAGTGATGGTGGGTTCTGTTGCATATTAGACAAGAGGTCACACACGTGTTGTACTTTTTTGGTTTCCTTTTTTTTTTTTTTTTAAGAGAAATTTTTGCTATAGGGCATGTGCACTCACTAGAGAGACAGAAAGTGAGATATTACTCCCCAGGGGATGGCCACACCTCAGTCTCTTCCCCTCCATTTTCTTCTCTGGCTTTTGGGCATGCACGCACATGTGCCTGGTGTGAGTTTTAAGCCACTGGGTTCGGGACTTGATCATTTTACGACACACACATGCTGCCTGATGAGCATACCTGCGTTTGTGAGCTATTCATTACTGGAAGTTCCAGGTGCTCTCATTGATTTTGATCTGGAGGATCTTTTCTTAGGGGAGGCTCTTCCACATATTCTTCTGCTTCTGCTTTATTGGCCTGTGACCAGAGGTTCAAGGCCCAAGAAGGAAAGTAATACTCAGCATTGAGCATGCCTTCATCAGTTTCATTCATCAGCATTTAGTTGTGCAGTTTTGCTACTCTGTCAACATCATCATTTATTGAGTGAACAGGGACCATTTTAAAGGAAGGGACTAACAGTATTGTGAACATTTCTCTCTAAAGTATCTAGTATCAAAATAAAAGGCTCAAACTCTTAGGAGTGTTTCTCGACATTTGATTTTCAGCCTTAGACAGCTCAGTGATGGTGGGTTCTGTTGCATATTAGACAAGAGGTCACACACGTGTTGTACTTTTTTGGTTTCCTTTTTTTTTTTTTTTTAAGAGAAATTTTTGCTATAGGGCATGTGCACTCACTAGAGAGACAGAAAGTGAGATATTACTCCCCAGGGGATGGCCACACCTCAGTCTCTTCCCCTCCATTTTCTTCTCTGGCTTTTGGGCATGCACGCACATGTGCCTGGTGTGAGTTTTAAGCCACTGGGTTCGGGACTCGAACTGTGGTTGACTATTTGGGAGTCCACTGACATAACCATTACGTCATTTGCTGGTCTGTTTTTAGTTTTCTTTAGGAGATACAAAGAAATAAAAGAATAAAGAACAACCTGTTTTCAATGGAACTCTAGTGAGCTCACTGCTCACATATGACTTAAGTGTTTGACCCAGACACTCTCTCTTTTCTCACCTCATTGGGACAGCAGGTATAGCACAGTGCCTGTCTCCTCCTTAGACATCACTAACTCAGCCCGCTACATACTAGCCTCGGCCGAGGTGTTCTGAAAGTGGATTACGTACTTATAGGATTGTCCTTGGGTTTAACCAGACTCTCGTCTCACATACCTGATGTCTGGTGGCCTGTGCCTAATTCTTTTTCCTAACCACTCAGGTGATGGAAAATAGCTAAAATCATGCTTTGTATAAAACCTCCCATTTCCACAAGTCACAAATGCCTTTTCCTCCCTCTAAATAATAGGTATGTTTAACTCTTTATGTAGCTTCTTGTTCACGTTGCTCACTTTTGTGTTCTACATTCTCTCCAAACTTTCGATATTGTTCTCCCATCCTGGATCCTGGGGGCGTTTTCTGTTGAGGGAAAGGTGCATTAATAGAATCAGTGGAGTTCCTTGCTGGTCTCTATGTGCATTTCCGTCCACACATCCTACTCGAAGCTGGCTTTTGAAAGCACCACTGAAGGGAACCATCGTCATATTCATGTTCTATGAGAAATAATCTTCTGTGGGAAGTAAGGCCCACCCTGCCATTCTTCTCCCATGATTTGTCACATACCACGTGGCGTGTGTACCTACATCAATTGTTTTTCCTTTGTATTCAATTCTGTTTGATTTTCCCTGGAAAGCTTTCCAACTCATCATAATCATATAAAATTTAGTCATGTCTGCCTACATCTTTGCAGTGTGTCACTTGACCACATCTGTATGGTCAGTGAGTGCACTCTCTATTTCATCCGAAAGCAAAACAAAACAAACAAAAAGCAACCAGTAAACAAACAAGCAGTTGCAGAACCAACTGCTATGAAGCCGCATTTGGTATACTGTTACCATGTTCTAAGAGTCTTGAGTAACTCCATCCCTTCCACATATTCTACACTGGGTCAAGCAGGTCGTATTTTTAGTACACCTACTTTTTGATGAATACATTACATGGCCTAAATCAAATCCTTTTCAGAAAGGCAAGATGTGTTATACTTTTTATCACTTTGTGTCCTTAGGACCAGCTATTTGATTATGACAGATTAGGAAACCCAACTCAATAACTCAAGGGAAGTATTCATCAAAGAACAATTATAATTTGGGGGACAAAGTGATAAATTCTTGGATGAAAAAATCATTATGAAGGGCAGAGTCTGGAAGAGCCATATCATTCACATCTTCATGTAAGCAGGTCCTAGCTAGAGTACTGTAGCAGGCAGGCATTAACTTCTCATGGTCAGGAAACCCTATGGCTTCATCCTTCCTTTGCTAAAGTGATTTCTTTCAAAGCAGTTCTCTCCTTTATATTACTATTCTGATTTGTGAAAATCAAGAAAAAGGAAAATGAAAAGAGGCCAGATGAAAAAAATCAGTACTTGGTAGTCAACAGTGCATGACTTCTATCACAAAACCAAAGCAAGGGAATGGGAATGAGGAAGAGAATGGGAATGATTAATGATTACTTCCCTAAGAAGTTAATATAGTATAAAACTACATGGCTTTAAGTATGGCATTCCTCCTTTTCCTTTTCTCAGTGATAAGGAGTGGCAGCAGAATCAATGCTCTATACCAGAGAGCCACAAAGTGAGGCCTCGGAGCCTCATCGAGCTGGTCACCTACTTTTGAATGGGTTGTAAGCTTAGAATGGCTTTACATCAAGAAAGTATATTTTATAATGTATACACACACACACACACACACACACACACACACACACACATA